GTGCATGCATGTTTGATGCCCGGAGCACATCAGGGCTTGCCTTGGTTTCCATCCTTTCACTTCTGTTCACCAAAAGCTGGGTCACATTTTACTAAGTTTGGCCTAGGACACTGCTGCTACGGGTAATATGCCACTGCTAGGAGTGCTAATTCCATTACTCATACTTAATAAGACCAGCGGGTATTATATTCCTATAATTGTATCGATAGCTCACATGCACCCTATTTTTGCAGCAAACATAACGGGTGGGAATATGAGCTTACGCGCATCCTGAACTTCATGCGGGTTGATCTGTAAGACAGCCGAGCGAGCGTTCACGTCCGTGTACAGATGACGTGTAGGCCACATTGATGACATACTGCGTTCTGCCCTCGAGGCCCGATTAAGACTGCACTACCTGGTTGACTGAAAAACTTCCCATCGGTGACTATTGGAGCCTTAAGCGCTGGATCCGAACCAGCTCACCTTCACCCTCTTACATACACCGACCACCGCCAAATTGTAAATGTGCCAAACCCAGTATTAATGTGAAGATAACTCGGTTCCCACCAGCGGATAAATGCGTATGCCTCGAAGACACAATTTTAAAAAACACCAAGATCGGTAAAATCGCAATTTAGATATCCAGAGCCAGTTAGGCCTGCGGTCGGCTACTGAACTCCGCCTGGAACGGCCGAGACATCTTACTCAAAATAAACCAGAAGACAACGCTACCGTACGGAGCAAATTTGTGAACTATGTATGAAAGCCAAGAAGGAAGACTCGACCATACTCACATCAGCCGCCTCCAGAAAACAGTGAAGGGGTATGGCAGGAAAGAGTCTCAAACTTCCAAAAAATCGGAGTCCTCAGTATTTGTGCCATGCTGAGGAAGATACAACTGCGATAGAGAGGTCATCTCGTGGGAATGGATGACGGGTGCCTGCCGAAGCAATTCTACGGCGATGTACTTGCAGACGAAGCCGAAAAGAGCGTCGTCACAAGGACATTGTGACCCTTTCTCAATTAAGACACGAGGGAGCCTGGTTCAAGATCGGCTAGTCTGACACACTGTCTTAAAAATTGAGCCAGTCCCCTTCGAAGTTAACCGAATAGTCGTTGGCGAGGCAAGAGAAACCCGTGAAAATTAAGTACTCCATTCTTGCCATCGTGCTCGCACTGCCAACGGATATACTGTGCGCGGACCTTACTATTTGGATATCCGAGGACCTAGTGCAACATTGATACGAAAAAGCCGCCCCTCACTGCACGATACTGCAAGCGATAACACCTTTAAAACACCTACTGGCCTAGTTCATAGTTTGCAAACCCACGGCAGCGAGACCGCCTCACATACCAGCACTGCTCCAGAGCATTTCGGATTGCAAGAGTCTACTCGACCAAATGTGCCTTCATGAAGGCTTCAAATGAAAAACCGCATTCCCAACTCCCAGACACTCCCCAGATGCCAATCTCTCGCCAATCCAGTCGGTTACGGCGCCCAACCGGGTCATTAACTGGCGCACCTGTTAGGACAATCGGCTGACCCCCCGAGAAGAAATAATGTATTGTGGCTGTGTCGAGTGAGCCACGAGGGAGGAGTGGATGGTACTGTCCCTCACTGCTGACTCAAGTCTAGCCAGCCGCATCGGATGTTCTTCACACTTTTCCGGAAGTGCATCAGGTCCGGTGAAAGACCAAGGTCTTGTAAGTTAACGTCGGATGGTCGCCCCTCTATTCTGTGCAATCGAAGCTAAGTGCATGGATTACAAATATCCAAATGCTAAAAAGCATCGCTTAGCACTGATCCTAACCTGTTTCAGATTATAACTTCAAACCCGTTTTTTTTCATAAGCATCGGCAAGGTGATTACGAAGAGCCGTTAGTAGGCGACATAAAGAGGTCCACCACTGGGCTAAACATCCATTAGCTCGCAAAATATTAGTAAAATGACCAGACGCAATTGACCATGTGACAGGAAGTGACAGATGAGCAGTTGAGAATTCAGTGGTGGCAACACAGTGCACATATGAAATATACCCTTGAGGACTAAAAAGGCTTCATTCGTCACCACAGCCACTGCCTCCAGGGGACTATTCTGGACCATTATCCTTTGGTTCTTCACGACTGCCCGCAACGCATGTGGGTAGGCCACATCAGTCGAAGTCGCAACCGTCTGTCACTCGAGACAAAATACAAAAAGGCCCAAACTCAGTCAGTGAAACCAAAGGCTCAAGAAGTTGAGTTGGCATGCGGTGCAATAACGCACTTTAGTGAGTATCTGCTGCGGCGCACAACCCCGTAAGGAGGCTTTTAACATACATAAACCATACATACAAGGCGCCAAAGTCAAACTCTAAGTGCACGAGAAGGAAACCCAAGTCTACTCTGGTAAAGTTTTTGCAGGGCTACTAAACGCAAGTGCATCTTATTGATGCTGGCACGCTTACCCAGGGTACAGGACCGACACGAGTCACCGTATATGAAACTACGAATAAACAGTCGTGAACCAAAGTTAACCACTCACACGATAGTGATGACAGTTATTCGTGGCTTTCTAGCATCATACGTTAAGATACTATACAAAGTTATTAAAACCAATTAACTGGTGTCCAATTCCAAGCTACGACCGACCAACAGACATGCGTGTATTAAATGAACCAGGCTATCAAACCCAAAATAAATACATAGAATTTAACGCCAGAATATAAGGAACCACGGCCTAGTTATATGCAGCCCTTGCGATTCCATTCTTCCAATATGCCGACCTTCGATGTAGAAGAAAATGTTCTAGAGGTGTATGCTGCGTCGAAATGTGCAGCCATCTACGAAGAACGTGGGAACCGTTAAGTTTTACAAGCATCCAGGCGCGTAGCTACCACAACATCTGGCTAGCCAGACAATTAACGAACCATGTGACAATATCAGCGATCCATTCAGAAGCTGCCAACTCTGACAAGCAGGCAGCGGAACAGCAACACTTGTGCAGTCTACTATGATTATCCGACTTTGTAAGTGATGGCGGATTCGAGCGAGTCAATAAAAGTTAGGCTAATACGTTCATTGTTCCTGTGACTGTGCCTCCTTTGCGTCGCCATGTCCAAATCGATTCACAAACCTTGTGGTGGCCCAAACAGCGGATGAGAGCAGTGAGGACTATATCACAAAAGACTAACGCAGAACTGATGGCAAGCATATGCCTACTAAGCCGAAACTCAACTTGCGCAGAACATCACCCCAAACATTTTGAGATAAATCAGTACGTGCGTCATCATGGAGAATTTTCGTGACGGTGCGAAAGCCTCGAAGACTTTCTGTGCTCCACAGGTCAGGAATTGTTACCTACTTCAGCTCAGCCAGTCTTTCCGGCTGAAAGCCTACGCTGAAATTAATATAGGTATAATGCCACAATGCGTGCCCTTAACCTCTTTTTGGACTCTCTGACGAAAACTAGACTACTCATGTCGTAGCCCCGACTCCCCAGATTCGTGAGATAATTGCGTATGCATGCAGATGACCAAAGTTACGAAACAAAGATAGGTGTGAAACAAAAATCTGCTGTAAAACCAATGCACGGACCCAACAGTCAACTCATCGCTGTTTCGACGTGTGTAGGATGGAGAGCGAGGTCTAACGGAGTTGCAGTCCGATCTGAAACTAGTGCTGACTCAAAAGTGTGCTTCACTGCATTCTCCAGGTGCACTATGGTCACCAGCCGTCCGTGAGATAGACTTCAGACTGCGAACCTCGGCCAAGTTAGTGGGAAACACTAATGAGGACAAAGAACTAGTAGCCAAATCCTGCCACCACACTATCCCGGACACCGATTTTGCTAACAGAGACAGTCCTGATCACTGATTCGTTCAAATTAGTTACTGATCCTATTGAAAAATGCCCTTATGTGTGTTGATGGAGCAATGTGCAGAGCTAATACCCGTATTCAAAGTAACCAAGGCCTATTACGCGGACATTACCAAACTAAGTGAGGTGACTGTGTGTAGTTTGGAGTGCGCGTTAACCTGACTGGTTAACCTACTGCGAGTGCAATCAATATCATGAAGGTAAAGCAGTTTGGGTAAGGAGCCGAATTGCGGAAGTAGTTGGCCTCCGCTCAGAAACTATCCGCTGCTAAATAAGGTGAATACGAGTGTTTCCCGAATGAACGATGTTTACCATAGATGACTCATCGTCAAATCTGGATGAATATTCCTCGTGGCCTAAGACGCAAGAGTACTCGTAAAAAAGCAACCAAGCGCGTGAAACTTCCTCAACATTAACTGACTGAAAATACACGGGATAGTTTCGGCCAATTGGGGAAAATTACTAAACTGATCTAAGCCAGCGGTCTTTGCTGCACAACTTGAGACTACTGGCTCAAACGTAGGGCTGCTACCTCATGAAGACTGTAGTGAGTCCAAATCATGGGACAACAGGATTGAAGATTCTAGACATTTTACCCGCGGTCCTGTGTTCCGCAGGCCCACAATCACGCTTAGGTGGGTATTTTGCGAAATTCTGCCGTCACTTATGGCTGTAGTAGATTTAAGTGTAGGCAGCGCAGCAACCAAAATTTAAATGAACCATCGTTTAGAAAAGGATCTCTATTCGTAAACACAAAACTGGGTGGCTTAACGTAAAGAGGTACTGGTGGATATGATGGATGAACGTGCAAAATGAATAAAAGTAAGCGACGAAGTTAAATAGGAATAGATAGTAACTTCGTTTAACTATTCAGGATTTCAATTGGCATTCGACATGAGCACACAGGTGCAAATATATTAACGAGAACCCGAGTCTCGATGCCTGGAAGTTACGCAGAAGACGCATGTATTCGGCTTTTAGACAGCGATTGACAGCATCCAGATGGTTGCACTCAATATACAGACCGCAAGTTGTGCAACACCGGAAAGGAATACGAAAATAAGCAAAGAAAACAATTTTTCTCAAAAGAGGCTGTGGGAAGTGGCCAGTCCTTCCTTGAAGAGAAGAAAGAGACGTCCGACTGGGCAGCACCGAACGTCCTAAGTAAAGTTTTCTTGGCTCAGCCTTACGACCCTCCCAACTTTCCGCTTAAATTCATCGTAGTTTTCTCTAAATTCTTTCTGTTAGGGAGAAATAAAAACTACAAGTCTTGTGGCTTACAGCAGCGTCAACATTTGCCGGACTGTCGGGATTGGGTTCAGCGAGCATCGAAATAACTGACATTATTATAGTCTCGACAGTGTGTACTGGAAGCCACCGTTCTTCAGGTCTTTCGTATCCCCAACGGTCTTCGCCTGGTTCATGGAGAATGGATATGCATACATTTCCGGATGGAGCAATGTTAGGGTGCCACATGTCGGTAACAAACTGCATTTTTGGGGGGCGGTTCGGATAATCCTGTGGAAATTCCAAAATTGCCTTAAAACAGCCACCATCACTATAAAATAATTTAGAAAATAGTCTGAAGTTACTATAGAGTGTCGGCTGGACCCATTATCATAACCTGCCACTTGAAAATATTGTCGTCATCGATAAGGCCAGCGGAAAAACCCTCAGGACCACTCTTGTTGAGCTCTGAAAAAAAAATTGTCAGCGGAAGGTCGAAATATACAGATAAGATGTATGAAAAATATAAACGAACCAGCTAACTGCTTTCTAAGTAGTAAAGTCGAGGCTGTGTTAGTCATGCCGAGTTAACCCTCGTTGACAAAAGATGCAGCTGTTCACGCGAAGCCCGGGAAAGTACTGAACGACGATTGGACAACTAATGTATTACGAGTGACCCGCTGCAAATATTCGAGAATTTGGTGTCAAGATAAACAACATGGATGGCGATGTGAACGCAGTCACCGGCTGGTAAGCAATAAGTTGCCAGCTTTGTTAGGCACCAATCACGAACATTCCTTTTTGATCTTCTACTCACTTTTTTTTCCAAAAAAATTATCTTATGCGTCTTGTCGCATACGACTCCAAACCTGACGTCCGATATTTTTTGGAAGTCCACTGAATGCCTCCCTCGGCTAACTGCTCAGTAAAATAGCTGAGGTAAT